TAAATAAAAATCTATAAAAAGAAACAAGTTCCCTATGGTCCTTAAACATGTTTCCCTAGCATCTGTAGGGATTTATAATATATAATATGCAACTTGAAGGAAAGTTTGCTAAATGAATATGATATGGAATTGAGGTTATAAAAATAAGAGGACTTTTCAAGCTGGAGTTCTGAGAGACAGAAGTGATCAGTTTAGATATATTTGAGAGATTATTTCAATAAATAGCTGTTATATTTCTCATGGAGCATTAAGTACAAAACACTACTTTTTATTCTATTTGGTCATCTTGTTAGTATATCACAGCTGAAAAAAAAATCCAATAATATAAAATATTCTCCCCAGGGTCAGAGAAACTTCAGTTTTCAGCTCTCAGAGCATAAAATATGTTATTTTTCCTCATTCCATGATTTAAGAAAGCAATAAGGACCCCCCTGGATTAGATATTTCTTGTCAGTAAAAGAATAGCTATTCTAAAAATACTGTCTTGGGCCTTTCATCCTTCCAGTAAGTCATTAACTAAGCAACTTCATCTACTGATTATTATTCCCTAAGTGCCTTGTGCAATGTGCCTGGTAGTGTGCTAAGAAAATAAGAAATTACTCCTTGATTTGATTTGTCATTTTGATAGCATAGATTTCTAGTCCCATAAGAAACACTAATGAAAATAGAACTACTACTAATTTGTTTTAATGATGAAAATTTTGAAGAAAATTTGCTAAACATCCTCAATTTTATGTTCATGAACTTTGACAAAGAAGCACATCAATTATATCCTAAGGATGACTCTTGAGTATTTCTGACTCTCTGTTCTGATTCCCTATCAGTCCCCATTTTTTTTCCTCCTATCTGTGTGATTCAACTACAGTTTCAATGTCTTTAATTGTGGAGAAGTGCTGTCTAATAGAATTTTCTTTGATGACAGAAATATTCTCTATTTGTGCTGTCCAGTAGTGTAGCCACCAGCCACATGTGGCCAATGCATTTTTTGAAATCCAGTTTGAAAAGAATCAACTAGATATGGCAACTGAGAAGTCTTCCTCAACATTTGGCAGAGAAACTCTATGGAGTTAGTGGGGGTAAAAGCATATTGCAGTGGGTTGAGAAGTAAATGGGAGATAAGGAAGTAGAGGCAGTATGCTTACTGGGGATGAGGAGGTAGAGAGTGAGTGCAGTGTAGTAGTTGATTAAGCAGAAAACACACATAATGGAGCTCTACTCCAAAAATCTTTGATCTGGCAGTCATGTGAAAAATGAATGGAGGAGGGAGAAAGCTAGAGTTTACATTCAGCTATTATTGGGGGCAGGGGGAAGGATAAGCTGAGATTTTCTAACATTTAGTGAAGGCAAGTCATAACATGAGAATAAATTTCAACTCCCCAGGAAGAATGGACATGTTTATTGTCTTTGATGGCACATCTGTTACCCAAGTGCAAATGAAATGGTTAGTTGTAAGATTTGAAATATTTAATTTTTCTCTGAAAAGCTGGAAGAATCCATGATATTACAGAATTAAGGTATTCTGTCATTTCTTTTAATAATAAATGTTATAAGTTCCTACCTAATACTGAGATTAATTTGTCCCAAAAAAGTGCATTCTTGTATTTCTCTATAATTACAGTTGACCCTTGAACAATGCAGGGGTTTAGGGTGCTGACCACCCCCCTCACCCTGGTTGCCCCATGCAGCCAAACATCTGCATATAATTTTTACCTCCCCCAAAATTTAACTACTAAAGCCTACTGTTAACAGGAAGCCTTACTAATACATAAACAGTTGATTAACACATATTTTGTATGTTATGAATATGATATACTGTATTCTTACAATAAAGTAAAATAGAGAAAAGAAAATGTTATTAAGAAAGTCATAGGAAGAGAGAATAGATTTGCAGTACTGTACTGTATTTATTGAAAAAAATCAAGGTTTAAGTGGACCCACACAGTTCAAACCCATGTTGTTCAAGGGTCAACCATACTTCTTAAAGCTAACTTTAGGTTGCAAGTTCTGAAACACTAAAATGTAGTTGCAATGTAAATGTAACTTCAAATTATATGATCTATATTTACATATAAGGATACTAATCAAAAGTTAGAAATGACTGAAATCATAGCATTTTAGAACTTAATGAGTATTCATTGAACTGCATTTTACGGGTGAGGACCATGAGACCTAGAAATAATATATGACTTAGCTAAGTTTACCCAAACAAGATTCGGACCCAGATCTTTAGACTCCAAGCCTGGTGGTGTTTCAAAAAAAGACTGGCTAGATGATGCACCAGGATATTTTTGGTATCTCTATATATTGCAATAAGAGAGAAAATAGAAAATTTCTAACAGCATGCCTCATTGGGGACAGTGAATCCTTTTCTTTACATTTCCACAATTAGTACCATTTCCCCTTGGGCACATTCTCACCATTTGCACTGTGCTTCCCAAATTTTCACTCATTTTTCAAAAGTGTTTGGTAATTATTCCATATGCTATGAAATTTGACCCAAAGAGAAGATGTCTAACTTCCCTACAATTTTTCAAAAAGGTTCCTCCTACTGAAGGTAAGAGAAGATGGTATATTGGTAGTTTAGAGGAAGAACAGTGGTTTTAAGGATTTAATCCTTCATATCATTTCAGTATTCAAATACTGAAATCAAATTTTCAGGATTACCTATAGATAGTAGGTATCTATAATTACTGAAGCAGAAGACACACTGACAGAAGACAAACGCAGACACACCAAAGAATGTATGTGAGCTAATGTTGTGGGCTGCTAATTTAGCCCATGGAAAACCTGGTAATGGTCTAACACATAGATGGACAAAGTTTTTTGTTTCTTGTTGTGTTTTTTTTTTTTTCTGTTTTTGTTTTTTAAGATCCTTTTAACTCCTTTTGGAAACCCTTTAAAGACTAAAAGTCAAATACAGAATGGTATGATATATCCTACTCAGGACATACTGGTCCATTTCTGGAAATAATAACGCTTTCTCAAAATGAAGCCATTTATATTCTTAGCCATGCTCTATTGTGTGCACAGAGTAATTTCTTGAGAGCAATGTTTCCTGTGGCATTTTGCCAAGACTGGCTTTATTTGTTTTTCATTAGGCTTTTCATTATCATGCTGCTATATACCTGGATCATTCTGCCTCTTCTGAGAAGGCCAGGGTAGCTTAAGCATAGGAATGATATCATGAGTAGGTGGAATGTTTTTGCCCAGTGAATGCCCATTTTAAATCTCTAGCTATGGTACCATTTTTATGGCTTTAATCTTTCTAAGAACAATCAATTATCCATTTATAATGTAGTCTGATATTAAATTGTTTATATTCATCTATTCTGTCCCTGTACAGGGAAAGATATTGGTCTCACTTTGTACCATATAGATAGGCCCATCCTCCTTTATTACCTCAGGAGAAGACATCATGATTCACCCCCATTGTCCAAGCCTGGAACTATTGTGTGTTCTGCATTTCTCCATCATTACATGCATTCAGTCACTGAGTCAAACTTCTTGATAGTTTCAAACCCACCCATATCTTTCTATCTCCCATGACCACCACTACCTCAGGCTAAGCCCACATTGTCTCTAGAACAACTGCGGTAGCTCCTAATGGTCTCCATGCTCCCAGGATTGCCCTTTCAAATTCATTCTCTTTTGCTTTAAATATCTGTCAGTACCCATTGCTCTCCATAAATATGTGTTCTGTAATTTCTACTCAGTGTTTTTGTTACACATTAATAAGACAGTTTGATTTGTCCAGAAAAGGAGTGATCTGAATTCTGAACTTCTCTATAGACCCCTCAATTTAAAGAGAAACACTAGCTTACAAGCTACAAAAGACTAAAATTTAGGGACAAAATAAACAATCTATAAATTTCTGTATTAGAATATTAATCAGAGGCCTAAAAAATCATTGAAATCAAAGAATTTTAGGACTAGACTGGTCCTTGGAGATTGTGTGGCTCAACTTTGTCATGTTATAGGTAAGGAAACTGAGGCCCAGCCACTAAATTGATCTAAAATTAAACTAAATTGATCTTTGTAAATTTAGAATCTCATATGTAACTCTTGTTTTTACCATCTATCCATGGCTCCCCGTTATGGTCAGGATGAAGTCTGAATTCCTCAGCCTGGCATACAATGTGCGTATAGTCTGGCTTCGGCTTACCTTGCCAGCCTTACCTTTTGTTCCTCTCTCCAACTCATCCAAGAACCCAGTGCTTCCAAATATGCTATGTTCTTTCTCACCCACAGGACACTGTACATAATTTTTCTTGTGTCCTCCCTCTGTTGAGTGCTGAGTCCTAACCATGCTTCAGATATCCGATCAGACATCATCTCTGCTGAAAACACCACCCAGATCCCCTTGGGGTTCCCAAGCATGTGTCACCATCATAGCGTATTCACAGCATTCTACCTGCCTTTGAAAATCTGTTTCCATCCCTGGACTAGAAAGAATAAAGACAGTTATGGGCAGGGACCTGCAAATTATTCATTGTTGTATCCCCATTATCTTGATCAGATGTCTGGCATTCAGTATTTTAATATTAATTATTAATTCCCAATTTTAACTAGCCTAGTATATTTCAATTTTTTAATCAGTCCTCCTCTCACAATCTGTTTTCAAGGGAAGAAAAAACTGATTCATTCATGTCAACGTATAGGTAGATCACTGAAGATCCTAAAGGGCAACTCTTCTCAGAAGCATTTACATTTTTAGGGGAACAGAGTTTTAGGTCACAGGAACGAATCCCCAATGCAGATAACCCAACCATAAATAGTGAGCCATAAGAGCATTTCTGAGAGGAAGGAAGCTTTCCCAGAACCTTCAACTCAGTCACATAGGTGACCTCCTACTTGCCCTCACCCTCATAGAAGAATGACTCTGTTTTTGTTTGTAAAAATCAGCTCACTTGTTGGTTATTTTTCTCGGCATTAAATAAATCATTATTTACCCATAGTAAAAATACGTAATTTAACTTGTAACATTTCTGGGTTTGTTTCAGGGAAGCAATGTTATGGAAGATCAGGATTTGTTGGAAATTGGAATCCTTAATTCTGGGCACAGACAAAGAATTCTACAGGCAATCCAGCTTCTTCCAAAGGTAAGCAATGCTTTCCTAGCCTGGCCCTATGTACAGCAGTCTTCAGTCCAGATGTGAAAGGGCTGTTAGTACTTAGGACACCATCTCTACATATTGTTTAAACTCCCCAAAGCAATTCTTCTTAGGTCTGAAATGTTCAGACTCACAAGACTACTGTGGGCCAAACTTGGCTTTAGGTGGATGAGAAGGATGTCATACAGGAAACACCACTGACCAGCAGGGCGCCTTCAGGGGTTCTCTTCAGTGCGAGTCCTTATATTGGTACAAACATCAGTCCACGCCCCTCAGGTGACAGCTCAGGTACAAGAAGACAAGATCAATATTGGGTGGGTGTGGGAATGTTCCTGAATTAGAAGCCTCATGCCCCCGAGAGGCATTATCTCTTGTACAACTCCATAGACTTAGGAACCTGCCTAATTACAAGAGTTATCACTCAAGGAAGACCAAAGTATCACATCCCCATCAGGTATTTATAGTTAATGTATAAATTCTCCCAGTCTAAATGCAGTTTGCCAACCAACGTGTCCTTTTAACTGTAAGCACTATGTTACCTAGCAACAGAGTTGACCTTCTGTTTCCAGATAAGATTTCATAGGAGCCTAAAGCAAGAGGTAGGATCTGAGCACTGGTCTTCAAGATAATGTAGGACTTTAACTGATAAGGAAAAGGAAAGCATTTCAGGGATCAGCAGAAATCATATAAATATAAATATAGATTGCCAAAAGTATTAGGGGAATAGTGATACTGTGTGATTTAAAATGCCATGAGATTTGCCCAACAATGTGAATGTCCTTAATCATTGCCACTAAATTATACACTTAAAAATGGTTAAGGTGGTAAATTTTATGTTTTGTTATTTTGCCACAGTTTTTTAAATAATTTAAAAAAAAAAAAATCCAGTGTGATTAAACAATTAGAGAGTATAGTCAGAGATAAAGCAGAAAAAGTAGGTTGGGTCGGTCTATGTCAGGCTAAGGAATTTGAAATTTGTTCTATAGGCTCTGGGGAACAGACATGACTGGACTGCTTTAGGCCAGTCAATTTTGGAGGCAGTATACAATAGACATGAGAAGGAGGGAAAGTTGAAGTAGGGTCAACCAGCTGGGAAAAGATTCAGTGGGCAAGACTGAAAGCAGATGAACAGTTAGACTTGCACCTAAATGTGTGAACTTACCATATATTTTGTATTCTCCTCTGCTCTTTTCCTTTCTAATGAGGCTATAATTTCTCCTTAGAACGAGAAAGATAAATATTAACCACTATTTCTAAGGAAGTGATCTGATGAAATTTGCCAACTGACAGTGAACTGAGTGTCTACTGATAGAAGCTTAACACTTTTGCAAATTCAAGGAGAGTTACGCATACAAAGGAGTTTGATCATACAGTTTTCTACAGTAAAAGGAAAAGAATAAAGTGGCCTTAGAACTAATTCCAGAAGTAATTCTTATAAGCGTATTGTTCCCCTCACTACTTTTGTATCTTAAAATATTATTTCCTCAGCAAGTTTGCTCCTCATTGTCTGCAAGGACTTCTACACTGCTGTACCCTCAACACCGAGCTCAGTGTGCAGCCCATGGTAGGCACTCAATAAATCAATAAGTGACTACCCCCGTGTCACAAGCCTGCCTGTCAAGTTCAGCTCAAATAGTTCCATATCACTTCCTTTATGAAACTTCCCCTAAATGGAACCACTTCTCTCACCTTGGTAATTATCACCCTAGTCCAAACCAACCACCATTAACTGGACTGCCACAATAGGTTCTACTATCATCTCTAGGTTAGACTACTGGAGTCAATTTCTCATTGGTTCTCTCTAGCTTGGATAATTCATAGATACCTAATCTCTGTCCTAGTTACCTTTCTTATCACTCTACATTTGAATTTCACACAGCATCCAGAATGATCCTTCTCAAATGTAAATCAGATCACGCACACTCTGTTCAAAATCTCCAATGGAGGGTGCCTGGGTGGCTCAGATGGTTGGGCATCTGCCTTCGGCTCAGGTTATGATCCCGGGGTCCTGGAATTGAGGCCCGCATTCGGGCTCCCTGCTCAGCGGGGAGACTGCTTCTCCCTCTGCCTCTCTCTCTCCATCTCTCATGAATAAATAAATAAATAATCTTAAAGAAAATAAAAATAAAATAAAATAAAATCTCCAATGGATTCCTTCTCACTTAGAATAAAATCTTTATCACAGCCTACAGAAGTCAATAGGCTCTGGCCCCTTCCCACCTTCATGGCCTCATCTCTCACTCTCCCATTTTCCTCAACTCTAGTTATATGGTTTCTTTTTGTTCCAGAATATACCAAGCTCATTTTTGCCTCAAGGCCTTTCCATACTGGTCTCTTTGTCTAGAAAGTCTTTTATTCAAATTTTCATACCCTTGTTCCTATACATCATCAAATCTCTACTCAGCTGCTGTCTCCTCACCCAGGCCTTGGTGACCTCAAAGTCACACACACATACTATCACTGTCCTTCATATTACCCCACTTTAGTTTCTCCGTGGCACTTATGGCTACCTGAAGTTAGATTATTTATGTGTTTGTTTTTTCCTTATTTTTCACCTCTCCCCCAAGATGCAGGGTCCATAAGCTCAGGGACCTTGACTATCTTGTTCCTTCCTATATACCCAGCCCCTATAGCAGTGCCAGTCACATCATAGGTGGTCAAAAATGTTTGTAGAAGGCAGTAATACACTGCTGTCTCTTTCCTCTGAGATTTGATAGCTCTGCCTATTCTGAAGGTACTAATAATGCTCTACCACTCTTGCCTTAGAAACATCCTGAAGGCAGAGACAGTGTCACATCCATCCTTGAATTTCCCAATGTGCTTAGCTCAATACATGCACATTTAAAGAATAAAAGAATGAGCGACTGAATGAATATTTTCCTCTCGTTATTCAAATATACATTTTTTTTTCAAATCGAAGAGTGCCTCAATCTTAAGATATATCCGTAATTGTGTATATGCCATTTGATAATGAGAACAAAAGAACCTGAACTCGGAATTATTTGGAGAACAAATGGAGTGTTTATTTTTAAGACAGAATATCATTCCCATTAGAGAAAACAATATAACAGAAACAATACAAAATTAAGCTTTTATCAAGAGGCTGATGTGAAAGTGCTTACTATGCACCCAAATGAGTAGAGAATATGTAAAAACATCCAAACACGTGTTCATCAGCACAAACAGAATGTTATAATGCTACAAATTGATGCTTTGCCTTCTTAGGTAATGAGCCCAATCTTCAGATGGTTAATAGTGTAATTTTACTGCCAGCACATTCATTTGCATTCACTCTAACTTTGCAGTGCCGCAAAAGGGACACCGTGTCTCTTTGTTTTGTTTATGCAATTTTAGTCTTCAGAATATCTGTGTTCTTCATCTGTCATGAAAAATATTCCATGATTGCTACCTGAAATCCTTTAATTAACATATTGTGTTTTGGAATCCCTGAGATTGTTCCTAAACAGAGAAAAGGTGGTTTGCTAAATGCAATCTTGATCTGTTAGCACACTTCAAAGCATGTTTTTCATGCTTTATTTGTATTTGTTGTTTCAAGTTTCAAAGACAAAAGTTTATTCCTTTGGTAAGAATAGTTATTCTGTAATATGCCCTTTATAATATTGAAATATTCACCAATGCAAAGGTCTGCATGTTCTCAAGTACATTTGATAAATCAAACTCATGGAATGTATTGATGTATTTTTTTTACTTTTTTATTGTTATGTTAATCACCATACATTACATCATTAGTTTTTGATGTAGTGTTCCATGATTCATTGTTTGTGCATAACACCCAGTG